TTCCAGTCCTCCGGCACCTGTCCTGAGTGCCACAGGTGCTCACACAGTTGTGCCAGCAGACCCTCTATGACTCTAGCTAATTCCCTAAGTAACCTAGGATGAAGATCATCCAGGCCTGTTGACTTAAATACATTCAACCCCTCCAGGTGCCCCTTTACTAGGTCAGCATGAACAGTTGGTGGTTTGGTATCCATTTCATGGTTACTTAAAGTCCCAATGGGATGTATTTTTGTATTTGTGTCCAGGAACACAGATGCAAAGAAGTCATTTAGGAGCTCCGCTTTGGCCATCCTACCTGTTACCAGTTGCCCTAGTCCATCTTGAAGGGGCCCTATGTTACCCTGTACTTTATTTTTGCTTCCTATGTATTTAAAGAATGACTTTTTGTTATCCTTAACTTTCGCTGCCAGCCTAAGCTCCATTTCTGTTTTGGCTCTCCTCACTGTTTCCCTGCAAGCTCGAGCCAAGCAGGTATACTCCTCCTTGGTGGCTGCCCCCTTCCTCCACAGCCTGTAGGCCTCTCTTTTCCTCTCTGGTCTCTCCTGGATTTCCCTGCTCAACCAAGAGGGTTTCTTTGGTCTTTTGTTCCCCTTTATGTGTACTGGGATGGTCCCTTTCAATGGCTGAAGGATCAGTTCCTTGAGAAACGCCCACCCTTCCTGGACTCCCATCTGCCCAATGCTTTTACCCATCAGTCCCTCCCTAACTACTCTCCTGAGCTTGTTAAAGTTGGCCTTCCTGAAGTCTAGCACTTTAGCCCTACTAGTTATCTTCCCCACGTTTTGCCGGGTGCAGGTATGGGAGACTCTCATGCTCATGAGAGATACAGATGTGATAGTGAGGGATGTCTCCATACTACTTCATGTGAACTAACTAATCCCTGGTACTCTGAGGATATCTTAATTCATTCAAAAGGCCACAATGCTGGGGTAGAAGTGACAGCTCTTTCGTAAGAGTTGAGTTAATGACACTCTGGATATACCTAAGTCATTTTATGTAAAAAAGCCAGATGATTGCTCAGAGCTCCAGTATGAAACTGTTGAAGGTCTCTGGGTTAAGGTTAGAGGTGAGAGCAACAAGGGTGATGTTGTTGTGGGGGATCTGCTATAGACCACCAAACCAGGGGAAGTGGTGGGTGAAGTTTCTTTGAACAGCTAGCAAAAGTTTCCCAATCACAAGCCCTGGTTCTCATGGGGGACTTGGATCACCCTGACATCTGCTGGGAGGGCAATACAGCAGTGTGCCGGAAATCTAGGAAGATTTTGGAGAGTATTGGGGACAACTTCCTGGTGCAAGTGCTGAAGCGGCCAACTAGGGGTCATGCTCTTCTTGATCTGCTGCTCACAAACAGGGAAGAATTGGTGGGGGATATAATAGTGGATGGCAGCTTGGGCAGCAGTGACCACAAGGGGATTGAGTTCAGGATCCTGAGGATCCCAACAGAAGCACAGATGTGCCCACAGGCATATGCCCCTGCCCATGGTATTGGACTCATGTCCAATGTATTGGAGAAGCCTTGACAATCCTGGCTGTGGTGTAGAGGTAGGCAAGGCACATAGGTAAGTTCCAGGTTCTTGAGCCTGGGAACCTGTCTCTGGCCGAGGTGTGATGCATGTGCTAGGCTGCATGTGCATGAGAGGCATAAGGATCCAGTGTCATGCTGGGCCCCAGTGGACTCTAACCAGTACCTGGGAAGACTGGAGTGCAAGGGAGAGGAAATAATTGGCAAAGACCTGACACAATCATCACAAGTGTGTGCCAGAAACAGAACGAAGGGAGCAGGGGAAGGTACAGACTGCCTGGGCTGGTGTGACCAAAGAAAGCAGGGAACGACATTTACATTTCCAAGCAGAACCTGTAAGGGGCCAGAGACCTGGATACCTGAGAAGAGACAGAGACTACCCTGTGCAAAGCAGCTAGTATTCGCTTCGAATTTGGCCGATTCAAGGGACAGTGATTCAATTCAGTGATTTGAATTGCTATCCCAAATCGATTCAGCCAAATCTGATTTGGATATTTGGCTGCTGTCGAATAGGCCAAACCTCTGAATCACACAGGCCGTATCCCGCACTCGCTCTCCCAGCCCTGCCCTGCCCCAGCTCCCGGCTCTAAAAAAAAAAAAGCCCCCACTCACTGGGTGCTGCCAGGTAGGAGGCAATCTCCACTGCCCCTCACTGCCCAATGCCACGTGTGGAGCTCTACCATGAGCCCCCTGACCCCCACCCACTGTCCCAGCCCCCGATGACTGCCTCATGTACCCCAGCTCCCGTCCCTTTAAAAAAACCCCCCAACAAACAAACCCTAGACTCACCAGCTTCTGCGAGGCAGGGAGGGTGATCCCTGCTGCCCTGCATTGCCCAGTGCTGCATGGGGGGCTCTTCCATGAGCCCCCAGAAGCCCTGTGGCCACTGCAGCGGTCAGTGAGCCTGGGGTTTTTGTTTTTGTTTTTTTTAAAGGGCCGGGAGCTGGTGTGGGCAGAGTAGCCATGGGAGGGCTGGGAGAGCGGGTGGGGGTTAGGGGTGCTCAGGGGGGCTGGGGGAACAGGCAGGGAATGGGGCCTGGCAGCGGTCTCCCCCATGGTCCTCTCCCCTCTCTCCAGACCGCTCCCCCTACTTACCAGCTTGGAGCCCAGGTCCAGCTCCCTGTGGCAGCGAGTGGGGACTGCCCCAATCAATGCTCTCCAAATCTTTTCCAAATTGATTTGGAGAGCTTTGAATCAATTCAGACCTTTTAATTATTTCCCTGATTCAGTTCAGATTGGCAGATCTGGCTACCGAATTGGGCCAAACCTCCGCCGAATCGAATCAACTCCCGAAGCTTTGCACAGCCCTAACAGAGACACTGTACACATGAAAGTCATGAGGTACGTGCAGCACATGAGGAATGGGAAAACATGCTATGGTCAAGGTGCCCAAGGGGGAGAAGGAGCTGCAGATTCCCCCATACAAACCCAGGCAGAGATGAGGCCTGTGGGATCTCCACATCAATGCCTAAGAAGACCTGTGGATCCACCAGAAGGACTTGGTGAATCACTGGATGCAAGGAGATGCTCTGCCCTCAAGATTACTTAAGACTCAGGCAAGGCTTTCTGGTGTCCTTTTGGTTTACTATGTTACATTTTAAGTCAGGCTAAGTTTTGTGTGTTGTCACTGTGTCATACTGGGCTGTGTCTTAGTGAGGGCAAAGCTTTTTTGTTGTTCTTTGTTGTGTGCTTGAAATTGCTAATGGCTGTGCTTAATAAATGCTCTCTTCAGAGAACAGGCTATTCTTGTTCAAACATTTCTGAATTCAGTGCCACTACGTGACGTGTAACATTAAATCTGGTAACAGTGCAAGGTGTTCTCCTGTGGTTGTTTGGGAATCTCTGGCTTTAATTATTTTTCTGTGACAGTCTGTTTTCACATCCACATTTTCCATGCGGGCATTCGATGCCCTGGCTGAGCTGTCCCACATGCTGGGACAGGAGTGCAGGCTTTGTGGATTCTGATGGTTTTTTTCTGGGACTGTTATAAACAGTGCAGAGGGGTAAGAAATTCCTCTGTGCTGCCACCTGGCCTCTGCCCAGCCCCAGAGGCAGTGAATTGTCTCTGCAGGTGCATCTGGGCAGGGAGAGAGACAAAGGCTTCCCTATCAGGATGCTTGGCTGAGACCAGCTCTTTCCTCTGAAGAATGTGGCTCTCTTTGCTCTGATGCTCTGCACATTCAGCCCCAACTAGCAGTGCCAGCCCTTCCTGACCTACCCAGGTCAAGGCAGGCAATGTCAGGGCCCACTTCCTGCCCTGGATTGGATTTGCCCCCATCCTCCACATGTCTGTGATCAGCTCAGCCCAGCAGCTCTGGGGAATATGGGTGCCCTGAGGCAGGGCTGTGTCCCAGCTCTCCCTGAAGGGCCTTGGGTGAAAGTCTCTTTTCCCCCTGGAGTGTGGGGATGGGACATGGGGGCCACACTAAAATATCCGTGGCAGGGAAGTAGCTTCCCTGTGGTGAGGAAGAGGAGGAGCTGTGGAGCAGGGGGATCTGCTCAGTGCATCTGCCAGTAGTGGCAGTGGTGGAGGGAGGATGAAGGGAGGGCAGCAGTTGGGAGGGGCCGGGCAAGGCTGGAGGAAGTTGTGGTTTTCCTGGAGCAAGCGGCTGCCCAATGCGGGGTGGGTTGGGGGATTTGCCCTGGAAAGAGGGTGAAGGTGGGTCAGTAATGGGGCTGTGTAGGCGCTGCTTGGGGACTATGTAGAAGGTGCCTGGCGCTGCCTCAGGCCCACAGCTGTGGCTTCACTTGCACGTGGCTGGTGCAGGTGAGTGGCAGGTGCTGGAGGGGATGGAAGGACCTGGGAGGCACTGGGCAGCAGTCAGTGAGTCCTAGAGAGCCTGGGGATGTCCCATCGCTGCGTCTGGGCTTTTTCTTCTCACCTCTCTGTCCCAACAGGTAATGACAGCCCTGCTGACTGGGCTGGGCCTTTGCAGAGCTGGTGACCTTCCTGAGTGCAGCCCTCCAGGTCTGGAGCTACTCCTGGTAGCTCCTCTGTGTGCCTGGACCTGGCCTCCTCTGCTCCTTTCAGTGCCTGTTTCCACCCATTGAAGGAGGTGAACACAAACCATCCTTTTATCTGGCATTAAGCTCAGGCTTTGCCTGCTTCTCTTCTAGACCTAGGGAAGTGCATTGTGTTCCCAGAAGCTAATCTTACATCTCTCCAATTTATGTAGTTCATTAAGTAAAAGGTGTTCCCATGAATCTTGGCCTGTCACATGCCCTGGACCATCTCCCCTAGAACTTGTATTCCTGCAAGAAGGACAGGCAGAGCAGTGAGCCCTGATGGAGACCAGGGCAGGACACCTAGGGTCAGTTCTGAATATCAGAGATTTTGACCCCGTGGCCACTTTTGAGCCTTCCCCAAATTTAATTCCTGGCTGGTTTCTGTAATCTAAAAGGCCTGATGTGTCTGACCCAGCAGGCAGAGCCTGGGGCTGGCAGTTGCTGCCTCTGCTGCTCACACAAGGAAGGCAGGTCATGGTTTTTGTGCAGGCTCCCATGGGTTTTCATTCACTGTGTTCCTGGCACAGTAATACCGGGCTGTGTCTGCAGGCTGGAGCCCGGTCAGACGCAGGTGCACTTGGCTGCTGGAGATGTCTCTGCTGATGGTGAGGCGGCTTTTGAGAACACTGTTATAACCAGTGCTTCCATCATACCAGATAACTCCAACCCACTGCAGCCCTTCTCCGTCTGCCTGCCGAACCCAGCTCACATCACTGCTAGTGAGAGAGAATCCAGACACGGTGCAGGTCAGGCTGAGGGTCTCTCCAGGCTTCACCACCCCAGGGCCAGACTCTTTCAATGTGATCTGGGACAGGACACCTGATGGAGAAATGAACACAGTGTTAGCTAATGGACCCTCTCTCTCTGCCTCTGCATCCCCCCGCCCCCCCCCCCCCCCCCCCCTGCCACAGGCAGCATGGTAGCAGACACTCACCGAGGGGGGCTGCCAGCAGGGACAGCAGAGCCAGTGCTGGCATCATGGTTGTTCTGGCTAATGCCCAGTGTCCTCAGCAGGTAGGAAGGGGCAGGTCTGGGGCGACACTGAGGAACCCAGATCAGGGCTGGTGCTTAATGAGGACGAGGCTTCCAGGAAATAAACAGGAAACGGGGTCATACCATTTGCATGTGCTTCTTTTATAAAGGCTTTTTGCAAATTTTACTGAACACATTGTACACCTGGCTATTGACTAACCAGGGGTTGAGACTCAAGGGGTTTAGGAGCACCCTAAAACCTGGCTGATTTGCATGGGGCACAATGCCACAGAAAAGGGAGGGAAGGTTGTTGGGAGGCCCCATCTCCTCCAAGCTCCATCTCACAGCAGGACCCAGCATGTCTGAACCATCTTGGGTTAGTTTGTCCCACCAGCTGCTGAACTTCAGAGGACAGAGCTCCCCACTTTATCTCAAATCGATTTTTCCTGCCTGGCAATTTAAGGCCATTGGTCCTTATCCTGCCCTCTGTGGCAACAGGGAACAGTCTATATCCTACATATAAGCACCTTGCAGGTGTTTGAAGGCTTCTATCAAATCAATAGAAATCTATAAATCACCCCTCAGTCGTTTCCTTTCCAGACTAAGCAGTTCTAGTTCTTCCAATGTTTCATTGTAGATCCTGCTTCCCAGACCCCTAGTCCATTTTTTTTCTCCTCACTGGGCCCTTTCCAATCTGTCAGCATCCTTCTCAGGGCCCAAAGCTGGACACAGTGATCCAGGCATGGCCTCACCAGAGCTTAGTAGAGTGGGTAAATCCATGCCTTAGATGTGCAGATCACAATCCTATGAACACAGGCCAGTGGGCTATTGCTTTCCTTTTGTCCCAACAGGGGCTGGCATTTGGGGCTCTCAGCACAAGTGCTGCACCTGGACTATTGTAACAGAAATCTCTTGGTGGGTGTCAGAAAATCCCATGCATTGTAATAAAGTGTAGAAGCATTCAGGATTTTATTTTTTCTTGCTGGATGATGAGCTCTGCTTACTGTGACTGTCCAGTGGGTTAAAAGCCACTTGCACATGCACTTCTAGCTGCTCCTGTGTAGTGCAGAATTTCAAAGCAATGCCTGAAAATTGGTGCTCCCTGCTCCTTGCTTCCCAGCACCAGTGTAAATTAATAGCTGACTCCTGTGGACTCTTCTCTGTACGGAGAGCAACCTTCCTCTTCATTGCTTCCCTGCATGCCGTGTAGATATGACCCATGAGCTCAGCCATGGCAGAGCAGGGGGAAGTGAGTTCTAGGAGGGTGGGGGTTGCAGTGGGCTGGTGCACATGAGACTTTGGAGTCTACATCCCTGGCAGTGGAGACAAGCAGGATCCCAGACCATATCCTGCCTATGGACAGGAGGACCCACGTGCCTGAAGTTGAAGTGCTTCCCCAGAGCCTGAGAGCAAGGCCAGGGTGTCCCAGGAAAGACACAAAGTACCTTGCAGCAGGGAGCAGCAGCACAGAGCCTGCAGCATCCCTGTCCTGTGAGCACAGTGTTTCTGCGTGGGAATTCAGCAAGAAGGGCTGGGCCAGGACCCTAAATACCAGTGGAGCTGGTCTTCCTTGTGTGCAACACGCTGATGCACAGGGAACACAGTTGTGGAGCCGTCCACAAGGAGAATAAAGGGAGAATGCACCCAAAGAGTTCAGGGTCTAAGGTCATCCCAGGCTGGTGACGCCCCCAGGCCAGGCCAGACCAAAGACACCCACAGCCCCAGCACTCAGCACCTTGCTCGTGTGGGAGGGAAATGCGTAGTTGCCCTGGCAACGGTGCTGCTCCCTGCAGTGTGACATCACAAGCCCAATCCTCAGTGTCAGGCCCCAGCACCATTCAGTGCTCTCACGGGATTCACCAGAGCCAGTTGCCATTGGAGCCACTAGTGCTTTTAATAATTTCACCTGTCAAGAGTGAGTGAGTTAGTTAGTTAATTAGTTGTCACCTGTCAAGAGTTCCTAATCACAGCATCTGAAGTGTGCACCTGTTGTAGATGTGAGTAGCCTTTCTCATTCGACTGGGGGGGCAGCACTGGGGACAACACATGGGCCTGTCATGGGGACTTCTGGGAGATGTGGTAAGCTGTCAGCAGGGACTCAGGTTGTGCAAGGGCCCAGGACTCAGCCCTGGTCTTGACAGTCAGTCTCCTCTTTTCCCCCTTCAGCTCAAGGGCTGTTTGTTTGCAGATGCTCCAGTGGGACAAGCTGCCACCAGTGCACCTGCACTCCAGTGACCCAGGTAAGACCTGGGCACATGCCTCCCACATGGGAGCAATGAGGGGTGGGCAGCACCGGAGGCTTCAGGGCCATGTGGCCTCCTCTCCTGGCAGGGTTTGCCTGGGCAGGCCAAGCCCATGCTGTTCCAGGTCCAACCTGGACAGACCCAGCTCCACCTCCCCCATCCCACCCCAGCTGTCACCCCCGGCTCCTCATCAGCAAGAACAGGACTGGCCCCCACTGGGTCCTCACTCTGCCCCAGGTCCTGGCCCTGCTCCCCTCTGCTCCCTTGCAGGGTGGGGCCCACATGGGCTCTGGGATCCCCATCCTCACAGTGGTGCTCAGTCTCACCCAGCCTTATGCACACCCCTCATGTCCCCTCAGCACCACATGCCACCCTGGGTGCATACGGGTGGGCAGGCAGGAGAAAGACTTCCCCATATTAAGGGCTTTCCATCTTCAACCTCCCTGGGTGAAGGCCAGGGGAGAAGGGAACCTACACCCAGTGAGTTTGGGTCCAGCCTAAGCTGGGGAGGGGCTTGTGCGGTTTCATGGGGAGGGGGCAAGGTCTCTGCATGATGGCACTCCTGGGCCTCCATTCCCAGGGGGCCAAGTTGATCCTTGGTATGCCCCCCTAATGAATTTTATAGGCAGCCATGAGATCACCTCTCAGCCTTCTTTTGTGAAGGCTGAAGAAGTCCAGGTCCCTTAGTCTCTCCTCTTAGGGCATGGCCTGTAAACCCTTAACCATATGAGTGGCCCTCCTCTGGACCCTCTCTAGGTTATCCACATCCTTCTTAAAGTGCAGTGCCCAAAACCGGACGCAGCACTCCAACTGCAGTCTGACCAATGCCGCATAGAGTGGAAGTGTATTACCTCCTTGATTCTATTTGTCATGCATTTGCTGATGCACGATAAAGTGCAGTTAGCTTTGCTGATGATTTTGTCACACTGACGACTCATGTTCATCTTGGAGTCCACTATGACTCTGAGATCCCTTTCAGCTTTTGTGCCGCTGAGAGGGTCATTTCCCAGCCAGTGGGTGTGCTAGATATTTTTATGTCCTAGGTACAGCACTCTGCACTTGTCCTTGTACTGCATCCTATTGTGTTCTGCACACTTTTCTAACCTGTCCTGGTCTGCCTGCAATGGTTCCCTACCCTCTGGAGTGCTCAGTCCACCCCATAATTTAGTATCATCCACAAACTTGGACAGATTACACATCATGCCCACATCTAAGTCACTGATGAAGACATTGAAGGGTACAGGTTCAAGGACCAAGCCCTGTGGGATACCACTACCCACATCATTCCAGGTCGATACCAACCTGTCTGCTACCACTCTCTGGGTGTGACCTCCCAAGCCAATTTGCCACTCAACGGACCATGTAAACATCTAAGTCACAGCCTCTTAATTTATTTATGAAAATGGGATGTGATACTGTATTGAAGGCCTTGTTAAAATCCAAGAAGAGGACATCCACCTCTACTCCTGTGTCTAAGCATTTTGTGACCTGGTCATAAAATGAAACCAGATTAGTCAGGCATGATCTGCCTGCTATGAATCCATGCTGGTTGTTCTGATGCATTATTTTTTCCCTCTGGACTCCTACAAATATGATCCTTAATAATCTTTTCAAAGACTTTTCTAAGGATGGAGGTGAGATTGACTGGCCTATAATTACTGGGATTCTCCTTTCTCCCCTGAATAGGGACCACATTGGTGCTCTTCCAGTCCTCCGGGACCTGCCCCAAGTGTCACGAGTGCTCAAACAGCCGTGCCAGTGGTTCTGCTATGACACCAGCCAATTCCTTCAGTACCCTCGGATGTAGCTTTTCCGGGCCGTCTGACTTGAACACATCGAGTGCATCCAGGTGACTCTGCACCAAGTTGGCATTGACAGTTGGTAGGCTGGTGTCCCTCTGTGCAACTAAGAACCCATTAGACTTATCTTGACCCTTATTCAAGAACACCAAGGCAAAAAAACTCATTGAAGAGCTCGGCCATGACCCCCCCGCCCCGTCTAATTGCTCCCACTTGTTCAGTAGGGGTCCTGTTCTGCCCTGCATCTTCCTTTTACTTCCTACATACATAAAAATAATAATAATAATACTTTTTGTTGTCTTTAATTTGTAATTTGTCATCATAGTTGACTCCAAGATGAACATGAGCCGGCAGTGCAACGAGGCCATCAAACCCAATCGCACCTTGTCGTGTATTAGCAGATGCATGACCAACAGATGAGGGAGGTGATGCTCCCCCTCTGCGGCACTAGTCAGGCTGCAGTTGGAGTGCTGTGTCCAGTTTTGGGTACCGCACTGCAGGAGGGACATGGAGGATCTGGAGAGGGTTCAGGAGGGGCCACTCGCATGATTAGTGGCCTCCGTGAAAGACCCTATGAGGAGAGGTTGAGGGATCTGAAGCTCTTCAGCCTTTACAAAAGACGACTGAGGGGTGACCTTGTAGCTGCCTACAAGTTTATCAGGGGAGGACAGCAGGGAATTGGGGATGCACTGTTTACCAGAGTGCCCCAGGGAGTAAGTAGGAATAATGGGTGCAAACTAGTGGAGAGTAAATTCAGGTTAGACATTAGGATGAAGTGTTTTACAGTAAAGGCGGCCAGAGTCTGGAACTGGCTTCCAAGAGAGGTAGTACTATCACCTAACTTGGAGGTCTGCAAGAGGAGGCTAGATAGTCACCTGGCTGGGGTCATCTGACCTCGGTCCTCTTTCCTGCCAGGGGCAGGGGGTCGGACACGATGATCCATTGGGTCCCTTCCAACTCTATAATCTATGAATGCAGGAGATAAAGCACTTTCTCCTGTTCCTTTGGCTAAACCAGCCCTGTCCATTGCAGGATGAGAT